CTCGATCTCTTGACCTCATGATCCACCCGCCTCGGCCTCCCAAAGTACTGGGATTACAGGCATGAGCCACCACGCCCGGCCTAGAATGTTTTTAAAGAGGAGTCAAATGGACACAACTAGTCTGGGCAGGATCATTAAAGTTCTGGGGCTGAATGAAAAAGGATATCAATGTTGCAAGGCAGCCGCTAGAAATGTCTCAGAACTACACGTCTAACCAACTGAGGAGACTCTTCCAGAGTACTCCTTTTAGTGGATTAGCCCCTAACTAGCTAAGCCTTAACAATAATGGCATATAATGACAATGGCATAAAATCAATCCCCTCCCTCCTTTTGAGACGGAGTGTTGCTCTGTCACCTAGGCTAGAGTGCAGTGGCAATACCTTGGCTTACTGCAACCTCCACTTCCTGGGTTCAGGCTATCTTCCTGCTGCAGCCTCCTGAATAGCTGGGATTACAGGCATACGCCACGACACCTGGCTGATTTTTGTACTTTTGGTAGACAGGGTTTCGCCATATTGGCCAGGTGAGTCTCAAACTCCTAACCTCGTGATCCACGTCCCTCAGCCTTCCGAAGTGCTGGGATTAAAGGGGTGAGCCACTGTGCATGGCCAATTCCATTTCTATTAGTTTGGTTCATACAATCCTTCCTTCATCCAACCTCATGGGATGATAGGTCATTTTCTCACAAGGGAATTCTTGATGTTTTCTGAAGGGAGTTGTTTATAGGTTTAACAAAACCAATTTAAGAGCCTTCAGCAAATTAATACGAAATGTTTCTGTTAATTTTGCCAGGTGAGAGACAGGGTTTTGCTCTGCTGCCTAGGCTGGAGTACAGTGGGGCAATCATGGCCCACTGTCACCTCAAATCCCTGGACTCAAATGATCCTCCTGCTTCAGTCTCCCACATAGCTAGGACTATAGGCATGTGCCACCATACCCAGGTTAATTTTTGGAGAGACAATGTCTTGCTGTTGCCCAGGCCGGTCTCTTTCATGCTTGATCCATAACTTACTGACTCCAATAAGGATGGCACCATGTCTGAGAAGTGGAAGTGAGCCAGAGCCAGGGAAGGAGACCTAGGTTTTATTGAGGACTTATATACAGGGCAGTCCAAGAATGGCAGGCTGAAAACCACTGTCATTTGTAAGAAGCATGCAGTTTACATAGTATTTTCACTTCTCACTCTCCACCTAGCTCAAAACAAAGGGTCTCAGTTTCTTTAGTTCCAAGGAACAGGCAAGTGTTCAGAAACCTCCAGGTTGGCCACTCCCAGATCCCTTCGTACGGAACTTTGTATCAACACTCTTCTTAGACCCTAGGGTCATTCTCAGGGTGTACTTCAGTTAGTGCTGTCAGATGTATCTGTTACACACTCTCAAACCCTTGGCATCAAGCATGTTCTTGCCTTAGTCTCCCAAAACACTGGAATTAAAGGGATGAGTCCCTGCACCTGACAAGATGGGTTTTTATTAATCTCTTTGTTAGTTCCATCAATCCAGAAGACAGGGGAGGGTATGCATAATCAAAATGTTGAAATATGGGCCATTGTTTATAAACAGAGATTGTATCTCCAGCTAAATGAGTTACCCTATTGCTGCTTAATTCACAAGAAATTCTCCAGGAGAGAGTTACCAGTCCAATAAATAATTTCCCATGATTTACACGGTGGCTCTTCTGTAAGGATATGCTTCAGTCCAATGAGAGAACATGCAAATCATAATTGGTACCAATTTATAATCTTGGGCTGGAGGCAAAGGCATATAGTTTGCTAAATATGAAAAGGTGAGGCAGACAAAGGGAAATGCCCTTAGGATTCTTGAAAATAAAGAAAATTTAGTTACAATCTTGATATTTAAATGTATCTGACAGTATTCTGTTAAATTTCAAGATGAAAATCAAGAGCATGCCAGGCACAGTGGCTCAGGCCTGTAATCCTAGCATATTGGGAGGCCAAGGCAGGAAGATACCTTGAGCCCAGGAGTTTTGAGACCAGCCTGGGCAACAAGGAGACCGAATCTCTACAGAAAAATTTTAAAAATTAGCTGAGCATGGTGGCACATGCCTGTCATAGCAACCTGAGAGGCTGAGGTGGGAGGATGGCTTGAGCACAGGAGGTCAAGGCTGCAGTGAGCTGTGATTGTGCCACCGTACTGCAGCCTGGGCAACAGAGGGAGATTGTCTCTTTAAAAACAAAAACAAAAACACACACACACACAAACAAAAGCAACTTTCATTGCAGATGGGAGTATTTTTCTATTTAGTGACTTACTTAGTTAACCCATATGTGCCAGAGATTGCAAATGTTTTTTGTGAAAAATGAGACCTTATATATATCTTTAGCGGTAGGATATAACCACCTCCTACAAGCTTAGTGTTCCAATAATGGAACATTAAGCATAAATGGGCTAATCATCATTAATTTTTTTTTTTTTTTGAGATGGAGTCTCCCTCTGTTACTCAGGTTTATGTGCAATGGTGCGATCTCAGCTCACTGCAACCTCTGGCTCCCAGGTCGAAGCGATTCTCCCACCTCAGGCTCCGAAATAGCTGGGATTACAGGTGCCCGCCACCACACCCAGATAATTTTTGTATTTTTCGTAGACACAGGGTTTCACCACATTGGCCAGGCTGGTCTGGAACTCCTGATCTAAGGTGATCCATATACGTTGGCCTTCCAAAGTGCTGTGATTACAGGAGTAAGCCACCACATCCAGCTTGTTAATAAATTAATGACACTAAAGGGAAATAATTTATTTAAGCTGGAAAATAATGAAGAGAAAAGCATCCATCTACTTGAAAAGTTTCTGTGAGCTGCCAATGGCTAACAATCGAGTGAGTTTTATGTTACAGAACTTAAATTTGAAAAGCTACCCACTAATTAGTGTAAAGGCACAACCTTCTTAGCACTATATAAAACAAAAGCTTT